TGGATGGACGGTCCTGGACAACATTTGCAGCCTGCAATTCAGCAGTAGACCAGACAGAGCCATTCTTTTCTCCTCCACATCTTCCTCCATACTTTTGTCCTCTGCGAGAACCTGAGAAGAAAATCCATATTTTCATAGTCATTCACTAAGAATCAGAAATTCATATCATTCATTTCAAACAGTTAACAGATCATCTGCAGAGGATTGGCTTATTTGGAAAGTTTCAGTCAGGTTTCAGAGCTCATCACAGCACAGAAACAGCTTTAGTGAAAGTTACAAGTGATCTTCTTATGGCCTCTGACAGTGGACTCATCTCTGTGCTTGTCCTGCTAGACCTCAGTGCAGCGTTCGTTACTGTTGACCATAATATTCTATTAGAACTATTAGAGCACGCGGCAGGTATTACAGGTCTAATAGACGCCAATTTGTTCAAATAAATGGAGAGTCCTCTTCGCACACTAAGGTTAATTATGGAGTTCCACAGGGTTCAGTGCTTGGACCAATTCTGTTTACATTATAAATGCTTCCCTTGGGCAGTATCATCAGAAGACATAGCATACATTTTCACTTTACATTTTATCCATGAAGCCAGATAACACACCTCAAATAGTTCAACTGCAGGAATGTCTTAAAGACATACAGACCTGAATGGCCTCTAATTTTCTGCTTTTAAATTCAGATAAAACTGAGGTTATTGTACTCAGCCCTGAAAATCTTAGAAATATGGTATCTAACCAGATTCTTACTCTGGATGGCATTAACTTGGCCTCCAGTAACACTTTGAGGAAGCTTGGAGTCAAGCCAGAGGTTTGTTCCTGTTAAAAGGGAGTTTTCCTTCCCGATGTCACCAAAGTGCTTGCTCATAGGGGGTCATATGATTTTTTGTATGTAGTATTGTAGGGCAGCGGTCCCCAACCTTTTTTGCGCCACGGACCGGTTTATGCCCGACAATATTTTCATGGACCGGTCTTTAAGGTGTCGCGGATAAATACAACAAAATAAAACTAGTACCAGTACCGAAAAAGAGAAAATTTATTCATAACACACGCGAAAAGACCAAGGAAAACCGAGTAAACGATAAAAACCATAACAAAATAACGCTGAAAACCGATAAAAACCCTGAAAACTATACATTTCACACCTGAGCCTCAACTCTCGCGGCCCGGTACCAAACGACTCACGGCCCGGGGGTTGGGGACCGCTGTTGTAGGGTATACCTTACAATGTAAAGCGCCTTTAGGTGACTGTTGTTGTGATTTGGCGCTGTATAAATAAAACTGAATTGAATGCAGTGCAGTAATGAAATATGATACAACTGCGTATCAGCAAAAGTCAGAACCTTATGTAGCAATCTATGGGACAAAAGCTCAGGTATACATAACATCTTGCTTCAACTGACACAGGCTTCTTATTTAGGTACAACTCTCACTATGAGCAAAATAAAGGTGGAATTAAATGCTGTGAAGGAGCGCGCGCGCGCGCGCATATATATATATATATATATATATATATAAATAAAAAACAATTTCCTTTTTTGATGAATTAAAAAAAAAATGTTAGTGGAAAAAATTAACCAAGAATCCCAAGGAAAATTGTTTTGAAAACATCATTTTCTAAAAGAAAAGAAATTAAAATAAATTTCACACCATTACAATATTGGGAGTTGCCCTCTGCCACCAAGTCTTCGATCATCTCTTTGGCCTTCTGCTGTGCTGCAGTGGACCCAAAAATGACTACCTCACCTTCATAACCTCCCTTGTTTATCTGAAAACACAAACAGAATAGTAACAAAGACGGTATAAGGATAACATCTTACATATTTCCTGTGCACTGAATTAGTTCTGATATTCACATTTTTAGTAAATTTGGCTGCGGGATTTTAAACTTTTCGCTCTTGTTCTAAAAATACTACCATTTTGACTCATGTTCCCAATAAGTTTTCAATATATTTTGTGTTCAAGCCTTTTAGAAACAGAGCTAAAAACTATATCTTTTATCATTTACAGTCAGTACCATAAGTTACCATTGGATAGCAACTTTGATGGCATTTTAAACATCATGCACTCAGATTATAAGTGTTAGAAACATTTATAAACACTTATAATCTGACATCTATAATCTGAGACTTGAAAATACACATGGGGACAAAATATTAAGAACATTTTAAAGTATATTGCAGTTCTGAACACCACACACACACACACACACACACACACACACACACACACACCATAATACAATTTTTAAGACCACTTTACCGATATTTGGCAATTTAAAATGCCTTTCCCACCTTTCAGAGCCATGACATATTTCCCTGAATATCATTCATCTTCTTGTTTACACGCTGCTTGAATCAGCTGGTTGTTGATCATTACTAACAGAGAAGATAAACAGTACCCTCTGGTGGACAAACTATGAAACATCACTGATAACATGGTTGAAGGGCATTTCTCCTGTCTTTTCTAAAATGTTTTGATTTACTGGTTTTCATAATGCAGATAGCAACAGACTGGTAAATAGCCAATATCAGCTGATACTATCAATGGAAATTTAAATCTTTTAGGCATGTAACCCAAAGTAGAACGATCATTTTTTTTAACAGTTAAAAATGAACAAAAAAAATGTACATGTTTTCCCAATTTATGGCAGAACTTTATTGGATTTTAAAGGTATGGGCCCACCACACATAAACTGGTAGGTGGAAGTTGGCAACTACAATATTCCCTCAGTCTGCTTTCTTGTTCCTTCCCCAAGCCAGGTAAACCCATTTAAAGAAAACCTCAGGAAAAGGTTGACAAATCTATATTTCAGCAGTTCACTCTGAGCATGCTGACATTTTGCTCAAGTTTATGCCGAATTTGAGCTTGTTAGCGAATATGTTGAGAATAGGCTGATAAACCTGAGATTGGCCCAATTTTTACATAAGTTTTGAGTGTGTGCTTTGCTTCTTACTTCGGGTGTTCAGTTTTAGAAGGGAGTTTGATTTAGCACCACAAAGGAATTTCTTAGGAAATAGCTGCCCCCTAAGACTGAAAGAGGAAACGCATTGTTGTCCAGGCACAGCATTGTTTGCCCTAACACCTCTCCCAACGCCCAAGCACCCAAGAACCCAAACGTGATACAATGAATTCATAAGAATTGGAAAAGGGGAGGGGACAGAGTGGAAAGGGGGTGAAGGGAAAAGATAAGTTAATGAGAATCCATTCAAGGCTCAAAATTGTGTTTATTGTCATCAGGGCATTATCAAGTCCAAGTTAAATAACCATATCTAAACAAATTAAAAGTTCAAGCAGTTTTTGTTTTTCGCTTCTAAACTGTGATTTCCCATGATTTGTTGTACTAGTTTAACACAACAACACCAACTTGCCTTAATTCTTGCACCTGAGCTCTCTTGAAGTTCACGGATTGTTGCTCCTCCACGACCTTTTAACAGAATAAAATGTGTTTTAGAGTCTAAACCTGCAGAACCTCCAGGGTATAGGCCAACCTCATCACTTACACAGCTTCTTCGCGCGGACCCATCAAATCTAAGCTAACGCTAACAACACAACTAAATGCAGCTTTGCTAAGACTGTGAAAGACTTGTTACTGTAAATTTCATCTCCGCATTAATTCTGACAACGTACCTATTACTCTTCCAATTGAAGTAGTTTCCACTGTGATAGTCAGAGGCCGGGAAGACTCTTCTTTGCTAAACGTCGTCTGTCGTCCGGGGCCTCCACGATCACTTCCACCTCCCCACTTGTTGACCTCGGGACCCGGGCCGCTACGATTAGCTCTCCTCTCCCTTGGGGCTCCAAATTTGGTTCCATTTTTCACACCGAAAACAACATTTTCCCTTTGACGGTCATTACATGAAAATTTCCAATCGGCCGAAGCCGGTTTTGTAGCAGGTTTGTAGATAGCAACTCCGTCCTGGTCGTAGTCATCCTCCCAATCAGACATTTTAAGCTTGGCTACCCAACAGCTACCTACGCACTACTTCAGTAAGCGCAATTAACGGTCGAACGGTGAATTCGGGGACAGCGCCGCGTTAACGTCCTTCCCGAAAAGTTAGTTTTTCTAAAACTCTTGTAAATTTTCATAAATTTACATCAGACGTGGCTTAAATTGTATAGAAAATTGTGAAATTTCAGATAAAAAGAATGCCTAAGAAATATCCATTTGTTAATTACCCTACCGTTTAGAGAGTTGAAGGCTATAGATTCACAATGTTCCTTTGTCTTCTTATTAATTAACAAATAAATAAGATTAAGAATTTCCACCAAAAAAGACACAAAAACAAAAAAGTTCAGATAACCTGTACTTTATTAATGAATAATAAAATTCTTTGCATTTCTCATCCAGAGAACATAGTGTGCACTTTAATAAATTAATTTCAAAGAAATAATAAAGTTAACATTATCAAGCTTTAAGGCCAGTTGTGTAATAAATTATCGTTCAAGCAATACAGAAATGGTATTATTAGCCATCAAAGCCATATAAAGTCTGTGACCAAGGCGACATAACTTAAGTGAACTGGATGCCCAACTGAAAAGCAGGAGTTTGACTTCAACTATACAATATGCATAGTCTGTAGGCAAACGAGGCCTTTATAGCTCCGTGAAGAAGAAAAAAATAATAGGAGGATTCTCAAGCAATATACAGACAGCAAAAATAGGCATGTTTTCTTTGGGAGGGGGAGGGCAACAATTGCAGTTTTAAAGGTTGTCCCATCTGTGTTTGGTGTTTTGCTTCATTGTTGCTTATGGATTTGGCCTGTTCTCATTTTTAACAAAGCTAAATCAATAGCTACAACTCAAATCTATGTCAATATTACATAAGCATAAACTACAATGTCACATTTCCAGGTCAATCTCAACAGAAACACACTGTGCTTTCATGATGACAATATATTTTATCATACCAGAACAACTTCTGCATGGTCTATAAAACACTTTAAAATCAGTCTACAAGTGTTAGCAGTTGTCATTTGTCAGAAGATAATACTCGCTATATTCTTTTATAGGATGTTAATATTCTAAGAAATGCACTCAACTCTCTGGGGATATAACAGAAAAAATGATGAATAAAAGGACACGAATAGCACAAACAATACATTTTAAGACTTCTGTGACAACATACAAAACAAATCAAAATGACTAACAAAAATGAAGATGGCTGACATAGTTTTTGTGCATAATTCTCATTTAAACACCAGTCAACCTATCTAAAAGAAAGAAAGGCAGCAATACAAACACTGTTTATTAAGACACTTTCAAGACACCAGTTTTTCAAAAATCTAACACTGAAAACATACAAGCCTCTACATCTCCTTAAAGATTAAATGTACCATATTATAAACGGTCCACTTTAGTCATTTTCGAGATAGTGACAATAAAACCCAGAATGGTTAAATATTCTAATTAGGACTGAGGTGAGTGAGGATGAAGTGCGTACCAACATCCTGGTGAAAAGAGTCCTTATATAAGCCACATATAATCTCAATCTAAGATCAGGCTTCATCAGAGAAGTCACAGAAAATATCAATGAGGTTTTTCTAGTTTGATCACAACGAATGGCCTTTAAATGTTGTAGTTTTGTCATAAAATAGTAAGTGGGTTATCCACAAAAGTAGTAACACAGGTTTTAACTTCTACCAAATTAGTTCAGATAATATTGATCATGTAGGCAGACTTTGTTCGTACCGTTTTGTTAAAAGTTTGGAGTAAACATTATTTTGACATGCAGATGGAGGTCTGAGTCACCAGGAAATGCATGAGCACTTTTGAATTACAGCTTAGACATGCAGCATCTCATGCTTGGCTGAGAAAGCCCACTTAAAAGTCTACCACAGTTCAATATTCAAAACAGCTGCATCCAGCTTACTGGGCTACTATCCAAACCAAGTGGGAGAAATTCCAACACTTGTTTTAAGTCAGTGCTGATAGGACATTTCTTCCCATTAGGTCTGCTGCATTCAAATTTAGTTACAGTTTGCTGACAGATTAGACCAGCCATCCAACCACATCAACATTAACAAACACTTCAGCAATTGTAGGAAATGAAGAAAACGAGATTTCTGTAGTCTGCACACATGCAACCCTGGTTCAACCTTTAAGTTTTTATACTTCAGCTGTTTCTTTCACACCAGGCCTCACCCTTTATTTCCTTTATTTATATTTCGTTTTTCAAACTGTCCATGTAGTGATATGTATGAAAGCATAGAGTAAGTAAAAGATGAAATTTTAAGTTGCCAAAGACAGACAGTGAACTAGCAGAGTGAGTGACTCTCTGCTTCTTCGAAGAAAAGTTCTTAGTCAGTCTCAGCTCTTTGTCATGTTGGCCTTTCTTAGAGTAGTAGTAGTTATTGTTAATGGTCACAACTGTCAGAGTGTAAAAGAGTTTGGCGGATGTGCATGTACATGTGGATGCTGGTTTCACCACGTGCTTAGAAGCTGACCAATGAGTTAGAGTGAAGTAGTTCTGGCTGTGAGACAGTTATTCAGCATTCTTCTTCCATTATCCTTTAATTTGTAAAGTGAAAAGTTAGACTCGAAATTGGGTTTGCTGCTGAGTCAGACTCAGCAAAAATGTAAAATTGTTGGACAGTAACCCTTTCTCACAATGCGCCCCATTATTTGATTGGCATCTACAGCTTTTCCAACAAGTCTGGATCTAGAAATAAAATTAGGATTCCTTCCAAGATTCCTCTTCAAATTAAGCATCTTTTTCTTTAATTTATGATAGTAAATATGAAAAACTTGGTCATTTTTGTATAAAAACAAAATATTGTTTTTCTAGTAAGGTTATTTTCATTTTTGTGTATTGATTGTATATTTTGTCTTACATGAGTATGGCCACTTGCATACATACGTGTACATTCATTTACTGTATAGGCTGTAGTAATTTTAGTACCCTATGAAAAGTGTGTATGCAACTGGGAATAAAAGTGTTAGACAAAATATCAAAACATTGTTCATATAGAAAGGATTTATTTGTAAAACTTGCAACATAATCTGTTTACTGCCCTGTAAAAATATTTTAAAAAGTGGCTTCACCCACAGTGGTGTTTACATACAGTATGGAAATGTGTGTCTGTCAGTAAGTGTGGTTATGCCAGCTGTATGTGTGAGGACTGACTGAGAAACTCTGACTTTCCTTTTGGGTGAGGTGCAGCCTCCTCTACAGTCTTTAAAAGGTCTGAGGTGCTGCTTCCAGGTCCCTGTGACAGGAAGTCGAAATGTTCCTCTGATGTTTGTAATTTGCACTCTCTAATAAAGAGTTCTGTATCATCCCAGTTGTTAAGATCATCATGGGCAGTGCTGCGTTCGCTACCATTGCTGCTGCTGCTGTTGTTGAGTGCAGAGGAGAGACCAGGGGCACGGTTGGTCAAAGGTTGACTGAGGTTCTGCACAGAGATCGACTTCCCAAGACCACCTTCCCAGTCTGAAGCCCTCCCATCTGGGCTCGAAGAGAGAAGCAGCAAGGGCTTCACCTCAAGGCTCATGTGCCTCCTCCAGACCCCCTCAGCTTTCAAGCCAGGCTTCTCCCGCAGCTGAACCGTTCCCTGGCCAAAGGCTGCCTCGTTGTCACCTTCTTGGTCAGAATCCACACCGCATCCTACAACAACAGAGGGGCCAGAGCTTTCCTCGTCCACTGCCACTCCATCTGTCAGATCATCTGAGATCGGGTCAGCAGGGCATCGGAGGTGAGAGGGGTGTACCATAGGGGGGAGTTGAAGAGTGAAATTCCCCGTGGAGGAAGGTGGGGGCGGCAGATCAGGGAAGTGTGCTTTTTTCGGGGTACCATTGGTGGTGACCAAAGTTGGATAAGGGCTATCAGGGGGCAGCAGAGGTGATGGGGAGAGCGAGGCTGTGGATGGTGGATAGGATGGAGGGGCTGAGTCCGGAGGAGCATCATCATCAGCTGGTGCCAGTATGAGCCGCAAGCCTCTCGGGTTGGGATTGAGAGAACGACGCATGCCGCCACTGTTGTGTCCTCCGCTTCCAACAGGCTCACCTCCCTGATGGGAGGGAAGATCCCTGCCAATGATTGAGGTCGGGTAGTCCGAGTTATGATGCTGGTTCTCCAGCTCAAACAGGGGGAGGGAGGAGAGGGTGAGTGCTGAGGGGCCTTTCTGTAGGACTTGGCGGTAAATATCCAGCAAAGAGTCCAGCTTTGATTCAATGGAAGTTACCTAGGCACAAAAGAAAAGAGAATAAGAACCAAGGCTGAAAGAGCTGAATACTATTCTGTAAATTTTCTGGGGGTTTCCAATACAGATAAATTGATACTGTTAAAAGCAAAATTTCACAGGTATTGGTCAAGAGCCCAAACAAATCACCAACAATGTGAGGTAATAAAAGTTTATGAATGCATTTTACATGCATTCTGTGTTCCTTATTTTTTTTTCTTAAACCCACCTGCCTCTCCACCTTACACACACGTCCAAGCATGCTCATGCCCTCTAGGGAGTCTCCATCTGGGTGCAGTTTGTCCCTCATTTTTTTATCCACAGGAATCTGGCCTTTTCCCAAGATCTGATCCACCCTGAGATACACACATACATTAGGATTATTATATTAGAAAATAATGACGTTGTAATATAAGAAGGCATCCCTGCTGTATTTCAGGTTATCTGCAGTCAGACAACAAACCTAAAGCAACGGAAGGCTAAGGTTAGGGTTAGTAAAAAAAACCCCACACATGGCTTGAGTGAATCAGTATAAAAACAACTATGGAAAAAAAGGAGGAAAATCTATGGGAAACTCAATTTTAGGATCGGATGTAATACATTTTGTAGCAGTTTGTTTGTGTTTGCATGTTTTATTTATTTTTATAGAATATAAAGCATATTTAATAAAAAAAAAAGCTCTGAGTGAGCTGCTTCTTGCAGTGCTTGATTTAAATTACTGTCAGATTATGTCAGAGTATTCATTAAATGGTCGTCTTTGTTCTCTGACAGTTAATTATGTTCAGTTAGTGAAGTTAATTTTCATACTTTGAGTTCCAAAGTAATGCACAGGTGCCTGTTTTCACTCAGGAAAAAATAAAAAGCACATCCAAACCGCACACAACTGCATACAAATCAGCAGCATTCACATACAATAATGTTTCCACTCTCTGATGAAAGGAGAAAGAATGAAGTGTGGAAATACAGATGAGATCTAATGTGATGTCAGACAGCTGTGTTTGGGTTTGTTTGCATTTACTTCAAATATTTATGTGTCAGACACGGTTAATAAAAACCTTACCATGTGGATGGAGTTTAACATATTAAAATCATCAAGTTTTGGGTTAAAATAAGGAATTGAATTGTACTGCAATTTAATTTGCCTTTCAGTTATTGTCAAAACCTTCTGGTATTAACTACATGTTCTACTGTAAACTCCAACCATATGGTTCTGCGGGAAGGTTAATACATTTCAGATATTTTATATCTGCTCGCAGTAACCCGATTTCCACTGCTATAGCACTTGTTAGCAGCTATGGCTGCATGTGGCAGGATTTTAAAGTCTAAAATTAAATTAAGTGAAATAGAATAACCCTGAGCCAGAAAGCTTCTTCATGTGGTTGCTGTAATAATAGTGTAGTGCAGGAGAGGACATATTCCTTGGCTGGGTGCGACCAGAGTCTGCTGCACTGGCCAGTCTGGAGATAGGAAAAAAACTGGATCAGGTTCTTCTCTCTGACTTAACACCATGAAGCTTTAAGCACAGGTACATAAATGAACAGATACACACAGAGATTAAGGATGGCATTTTCAAATGAATGATTTTTTGTTTATGAGGCCGCCTAATGCCGACTGAAACACAGGTCAACTGGCAAAAAATAGTATTTCTCTACAAGGTGATTCCTAAAATGCTTTTAGTCAAAAACATGGCATGTTTCAGCATGCTGTGCAGTGTGTCCTGCAATTAAGGAAACTGGACAGATAGAGGACAAAAGAAGAAGCGGTAGGCCTAAAACCATATCTACAGCAGAAGAACAACATTTAAATGTCTATCATTAACAAATAGGAAAAAAAACTGTACAAAGACCTGACAGAGAACTCAAGATTTGCATCGAGCCCTTCAGTTAATCCAGCTATTGTTTGATGTTGCCTCATCAAAAACTATCTCAGTAGAAGGGTGGTAGTCAATAAGCCATTGCTTAGGAAGGGAAACAGGGAGAAAGCAAGAACTGGTGTTATTGAGTGATGAATCTAAATGAGAAAAGTTTGATTCAAATTGTCAGCGGTCTATACTGAGGTGGTCAGGAGAGAAGAAAACACTGACTGTACACCTATTTATAAATAACATGGTGGAGGCTCTGTCTTGATTTGGGGCTGCATTTCAGTCACTGGTGTTGGGGATCTTATCAAAACTGAATTACAAACGCAGATGAGTACCATCAGATTTTAATCCACTGTGCAATACCATGCGGAAAGCAATGGCTCAATTAATCAGCTTGACGATGATCCCAAACACACTGCTAATGCAGTCAAAGCATACCTGAAAAGAAAACCACGCACCATCATAGACTGTAGGATCATCTGGACAGAGAATAGAACTAAAGGCAGCCAACATCCAAAGAAGAGATTTGTAATGTCCTTCAAGAAGCTGGAAAACTATTCCTGAAGACTGCTTTAAGAAAATACTAGAAAGTTCACCTAGAAGACTTCAGTCTGTGCTGAAGAATAACGGTGGTCATAGTAATGTGTGGCATGAAGCTATGTATGCCATTTTGATAGACTTTTCAACTAGAAGACCTGTGTTTTCTATGTGTCCACTTATTAAGTCAGTGAAATGATTACTGCACCAAAATTGCTTCAAGTATTAAGATAAGTTATATTTGTACATTTGGCTGAATTAGTTCAAATACATCTAAGCATATGCAAATTCAAACTGGCTGGCAAAGTTAGTAGGGAAGCATTTGGCAGAAGGATCAGAAAAGGGGGTGAGTCTAACCCCGGTGTCGACCGTTTCCTGCTGGTCTGGCTGTAATATAAATGCAGGGAGGGAGAGGAAAAGGTCTTCCCACGGCTGCGCAAAGGCCTTGGAGGAGGACCCACTACAGAGTCTAGTCTGGGAGAGAAAGGGAACACACATCTACACATATGTATTTAGTTTGGAAAAGAAATATGTACTTAAAAGAATGTTAAAGTTTAAAGTTAATTTATAATGATTTTCTGTGAAGTGCTATATAACCTATAGCGTTAGCTCGAATTGCAGCAAAATCAACACATAGCAGCTCAGGTTATTGATACATCTATAAATTCCTTGATTTTGAAAGCAGGAACACAGAAATCTGTCAATATCAATCAATGTGCATGCCGTTTCCTGACCTGGTCTGAAGGCTCTTGATGCGACAGAGCATATCCAGGTGACCTGCAGAGTACTGCTCAATCACGTCCTTCACATCATACGGACGCAGCGTCTCCTTAAACTTCTTCTTTGCTACATGGAACTTCATGATCCTATACATGCAAAAGACAAATACACACACAGTGATTGCTGGGAGTCAATTTAAGTGAAATCTAGGGTGTAATTACTAAACACCACCATTAGGTGGCAGCAGTAAGTTTGAGAAAACCTACAGAGAGGTTCTTGTGCTTCACTGTTGATCTTTTCTTTTTGGAGTGTAACAAAGATAACACAAAATTTCAAATACTTTCTGAAGTATCTGATGGAAAACCAGTGCGTAATGGTGAATTTGTGAAACCTGAGTGTAATTTTCTTTCTCCTTTTATTTGGTGAACAGAGCCGCTGCTGAGTAATAATATTGATCCAGGTAAGGAGATCTATGCCTCTTGGTTCATTTAGAGTCCCCAGTGATTTCTGGTAGTTTCCCACTGCCTATTTTTCTCACTGCCTAAATGGAAGCAGCAGTGACAGATGACCCTGTGTAATAACAGCCCTGACAGAGGAGGGGGTCTCCAGCCCTCAACCCGACACCCTGGGAAAACCCTGGGATCTGGCTGCCCATGGAGAATGGCCTGCTGAGTGTGCAGACCAGCCAGGGTTAGGTGGCAGCAGCATAGCTCGTAGATGGGAGTTTATCTGTGCAATTGTATGTAGATCTAGAAAGAGATGATGATGGTGATAAGAGGGGTTTAATAAGCTTCATTATACAAAAGGATGATATAAAGTCTTTGCATGTAAACCCCTAAACTTGACAATAATCCAGATCAGATAAAAGAATGATTGAGTGGATACTGTTACTGAACTATCAAAAGGTTGACAGAATGATTTCATTCGCTTAAAGAGTGGATTACAAAAAGATTCCACTCAAACTGTTACATAACTGACTACTCTCCATTAGGCCACAATGATAAAATCTGGTAAATGAAAAATCTGACATAGAAAGAATACAATTGAGTTTAAGATCAATTGTAAGATACCTCAGAAATGCATAAACAAACTTATAGCAAATGCCTGGAGAAACAAATGTGAGGTTCTATTACTTACAACCCCTTTAACCATTTATATTAACTCATTCACTGCCAGCCATTTTCAAATCCCCACTGCTCATTCACTGCCATTGACGTCTATAGACGTCAATGGCAGTGAATGAGTTAAGTGCATGTGCTTATTTTTCCATAATTCTATATAAAGATGACAACTGTGCAGAAGGAAAACAAACAAAAAAAAAGCATGGAACAAAATGCAGGGATACTAGCAGTGGCAACAACTATTTGAAGATGGAAAACTGAAAATCATAATTTGGCTTTTTTATCTTGTATCAATAATTCAGAGCTTTTATTAAGGGCATGCCAGGGGTTTCAGGTTTGCACACATGATTCATTGTCTTTTTATTACTGAACCATTATTGAACCCCTGCCTTAAAAAGCTGATAAATGTAAATTGTTTTAATGGTTTTTAAATGCTGAATTTATCCAGTTTTTACCTCGTCAACAATCTGTCTCTTTATTATATGGAAACAATCGAATTAATGATCTATAAAATTGAGGCAGCAAAATGTTAATTCTTAGTAAACCATAGAAAATATATAAACTACAGCTAAGTAGGCCATTTAAAAAATACTTCATTCATATATGAAATTAGACATTTGCACAATGAAAAAAGGTGAGAAGAAGCGGTGGAGTGAGAGAGTCATCTGGTGCCAGTAGGATAAACACTTGTTCACAGGGTGCCGGTGCCAGTGAAAGAGAGCAGACTCAGCTAGAACACATCTACACACTATATTCATGCACTATAGTTGTCATAAATACGGGTCAGTGCCGTCACATTACCAGTTGATTGGGAAGAAACTCTTGACTTTAGAGAGCACAGGAGAGGTAAAACTACTAAGATAAAAAATAAATATGTGATCAATAGCAGTATTATTAGTTCCAACATGCAGGACATATATGTAAAAGTAGACAATAAATCTACTCAACAATTTAGTTGGATTGCTGATAAAGGGTAATCTCAAACTTCATTTCAATAAACCATCATCTTTTATAACCAATTATAAATAATGGGTTTTACTATTAGTACAAACACTTTAGTTAGTCTGATTAAAAGGACTAATTTAGCATTTTGGAAAATATTCTCACTTGCATAATTGTTAAAATTAGTACAATTTAGCATTTAGCAAAGAAAAATACTAATAACATCATCCTCTTTAATTTTAGTTATTATTACCGTTACAGTTTCAGCACCAGCAGCTTGTTACACACCAAGTGTAGACTTTGGAAACCTGGTGCTTCTGTGCAAGAAACTGCAGGAACATTTTCTGGCATGTCTTGCTTCAGAAGCCAAAAAGAGCTCATTTGCCACTTTTTCATCAACAGCAAAAAAAAAAAAAAAAATACAGCTTAAGTAAGGGTCAGCCAAACAGCATCACCAAATCCCTACTAATTGATTTTCCGTGAAATTGCTTAACATTCGATTTGAACTTGATTTTTTCCTATGCCTGCTTCTGAGAACTACTGGTATAATATTCTGAAGTCTACTAATTAGTTGACTGTTGGTCTGCTGGCGGGTCTTTGAAGTGCATGTGGTAGTATATAAAGAGTTTCAGCGTTCTGCTCTATTCGTAGTTTAATCAAATATTTCTGTTAGGTTTAGACTTTCTGATTTATTTTCTAGTGCTTCAGAATTATTTGGCACAGGGTTAGATCTTTGCATGTTGTCCTTGTACCTGCACTGCTTCTCTCCAGCTACCCCAGCTTCCCTCAGCTTCTCTGCTGGTTAAGTTAACTGGCAATTATAAATTGCATTTTCTCTTCACTTATATTTAACTTCCTATTTTTCGCCTGGTTTTCTGTTCCCCACCTGCAGAGGTTCTGCAACCAACCAAAGACTCTACGCCCCACAGTTTAAGAACCACTGGTATAATATATTGCAGCCTGTAATTTAGCTGGCTATTTGTCTGTTGGCTGCTCTTTAAAGTGCATATATTAGACTAATCAGAGTTTCATGGTTTTGTTGAATTGGTTCAGACCGTTCTCATCCCCAAGGCCTCAATTAAAGCTGTTTTGTTAAAAGCTTACGTGGCTTATTAAGTCAGAAGGTGTCCTTTTGGTGGGTTGTGCTCTTATGGCATTAGTGAGATGGGGCTGTCACTCACAACTCATCAGCAGGTTTGCCAGGAGCATATTTTAAACCAAACCCCAATCTTTTACTGAATTTAGTTTTCAGTGCCTAAGCCTAACCAACAGATGACAGTGAAAGTAACATGTAAAAAAAAGCTAAAGAGAAAAGCACAAAGGTCCCAAAAGGAAATCTGTGAGATCCTCTTTCCTTACAAACATGCAGCTGTCACTGCTCCAGCCTCCTAATCCTGACTTTATAAGGACCATTATCTATGGTGACACTGACACAGCTGATTCTAACACACTAAGACTCATGTATACTGCAGAGGCACAAAGACATCTCAAAAAATGGAATTATATTATACCCAGGGATCCAAATGTGCGACGTGCAACATCACTGCAATCTCCTACCCCTAACAAAATGATGTTTCCATTATTGCTGCTTTGAACTAGAGCTTAGAAATAGTTGTAGTTTCAGGGTTAAGAGTATATGATAGAAGATAAATGTAGCCCACCTGACACCACAGATGGTTTGTGCACTGCTTTTAAAAAAGGCCTAAATTTGAAATTGTAATTTTGTTGCCATTTTTTAACTAGACAGCAAGACAACAAGTGGGTAGAGCTCGGGAGTTATCATCTTCATATTTACCAAAATATGTGATTTATTTGATCAATCTTGCCATCCAGTTCTCTAAAAAGCAATTATATATCTAAAGTGTTAAACAACAAATGAAAACAAAAGCTGTGAAAAGTGAGACGTGACTGAGTTTTGGCACCTAATGTGAGTGAAGAGGATAATGGATAAAAGCACGATTTTGGAAAGCAAACTGCAGAAGTGACCTCCCTATCTGTGTTATTTTCGTAATAGTACTCCCTATTTTCGACATTGTAAGAAAATTCAATAAAATCTTCTTGAGTGTGACTGCATATTAGCATCTGAATGTGTTTTTGCTGGTTCTTTCTTCTTCAAAAAAGAATTGCTCGCCCAAAGTCTTCAAGCAGTTTGGTGATTTGGGGTTGATTTTGATTACCTCATAAGGCACTCATAAAGTTTATTTGGAGCAGGACCTCACCTGACAGCTCTGATGACAGCCTTGAGAGGTGCTGATAGATCCTCCACAGTAACATCGCAGTGGCACCCTCGCTCATCAAAGGATTCCTCTGTGGTCATGCCTGTGTCCACTGAAAGAAACAGAGTGTTGAGTCATCAATAAATGTTGCTCTGCTGAAAGCATCTGCAGTCTTGAAACTCAAAAACCTTTTGCAACTTTCTGCAAGCTGGAAGAGAAAAGAGTCTGTGAGAATGTTTCCGAATGATACTATTTTGACTTTTAGGAGGTGAAAATCTATATTGTGTTTGGGATATTTAAGACAGGAACAAAGAAACTGACATATTTTTGCCACCTCCGCGATCTATAAGATGGAAGAGGAGGGTGTATATCCTTGATACTACCGATAACAATTAGAGTGGGAGATGTGGACCTGAAGAGGACTAAATAAGCATTATAAAATCATCAATTTCAAAATTCTATGGAACCTCAAGTTATAGCATTCACAAGATTTTCAGAAAACTTGACCTCTGAACTTAATCTAAAGGTCAAGGTCACTGAGATTCGAACTTGTCCAAAATTTTTAACAGATACACCTGTGGTATAAATTTGAAGCTGCTATGCTGCTTTGTTCTCGAGCTATCACATTCACAAACTTGGGTGTGGGTGGATGAGAAACCCTGGCTTGTAATTCAGTCAGGTTGTGGTCAGGACTCTGTGCAGGCCAGCCAAGTTCTTCCACACCAAACTCGCTCATCCATGTCTTTATGGACTTTGCTTTGCTCTGCTTGTTAGAACAGGATGCGACCATCATAAATGGTTACCACAAAGTTGGCAACATAAAATTGGCAAAAAATGACAACAAATTAAACTGGACATAGCAATAACAAATAATCAGCTATATTAACAATGAATTGTAATGCATGGATTTCCTCAACCAAATTTTTACCAAACTATAATTAACCACAGGGCAAAAGGTTTGTTTGAGGAAATGAACAACCTTGGCACAGGAAAGATGGCATAGAAACTTGGAAGAATGGATTCCACTAAATCTCTTCTAATCATATAAGTCTGAGTGCAAATGTCACACAGTCAGTTAAAAGACTGAACCTGAAAGGAGGCAGGGCAGTGATCCAAAACATATCTCGAACTACTTCACAAATTTAGGGGTAAGATAACTGGGTTTTCAAACGTGCTACAATACTGTTGAATTTATTTTACTTAACTTTTTTGGGTTATATTTAAGGTAATGTCTTGAAAGGTGTAACTCCACAGGGCATTTTACATATACTTCCATATTTGTTCCATATTTCTCTGAAAGTGTCATTTGTCAGATGTTGGTTTGGTTGGTTACAGTAACATTACAAGCTCACCATCTGGGACAGCTGTACGAGGCTGGCTCTTCAACCTCAGAGATGGCCTAAACCGGGTCCGATCATTGAAGCTCCAGCTCTTCTGCACTTTGGCAGGGCTGCCGCCCATCAGTTCTGTGCTGCCCACCATCTCGTTGCCAGGGGAACAGCGTTGGCGGTCATTCATGGACGTCTGCCGACTCTTCATACTCTGACCACGAGGGCTCGCCATGCGGACCCGTTCCTTAAAGCTCAACTTCTGACTGCATGGAGGGAGAGAAGACAAGAGAGAGAGAAAATAGAAGAGGAGCAGAGAAGATGACAGCGGATATGGTGAGAAACATTCATACCAGTAGAAAGGAAAGAGGTAATATAGTAGGAAAGTAGGAAAGATGTGAGAGTGAAAAGACACGTGGGAGGGAGGGGGGGGGTAGGAGGGACAGAAAGAATGATCAGATATAGAGAGGAAAAAGTGAAGAATGTGAGTTAAGGATTGAAGTGACAAAGAAAGAGCTTATGTGTGACACAGATTGGGGCTCAGAGAGAGACACTAGGAGAGAGACAAAAAGGGGATGCTGTCAACACCTATTTCCCCTCAGAGAGCGAGAAGAGTTCGGAGCTCAGACAAAGGGCACTGTTCTGTCTTTTCCTTTAGACCAAACATCATCCATCCAACTGACATGCCCAAAACACCAGAACAGTGCCAGACTGCCTACCAAGCCACCAAAAACAAACCCTCAGTGATCCTGAGGTGTTGTAATCGTCATTCGCAGCTGAAGCATAGTAACATTACCGTCATCACCACGGTCATTTTTAATCAACATTAAACAAATGACACCATTATTGAGAAAAAGCCTCTAAAATTTCTAGATGGTGCTTGATCTTTTATGTTTTTGGACAAAATCTTAATTTAGATTTTTTTTTCTTTACTTGCAAAAAGAACAAGATTTTTCCAAGACGAATGTTGTTGCCAAATCGCTTCCAGCATGGTAATTAATAGTCACAGGTAAGTCTACTAAAACCAGTATCAAAAGGTTAATCATTAATGTGCTTTTTTGAAGCATATAACGTCTGTTTAATGTAGTTATTTATGATCACATTTGCACTTTTATTTCTATTAAATCAAACAAACTTCCTCTATCACCCCAATTTTTGTCAGGCTAAATAAATACCTAATGATATCACAAACATTTAAAAATGACAAACAAAAATGAAATTCATGACATAATGTTCACATCTTTGGAAACCTTTAAGGGGCTGCTGGGTATGCAGAAAGTTCAAAATCAATGAGATGCACTGCAGCAAACTATTACTGTATGCTGCTTGGGCAAATTAATCAGCATGCAATGCAGCAGATCGATGAGAGAGATGCAAAGCTCCAGCACAATTTCCATGCCAAAAAATCATCTTTTTGTTCAGACCACAGTATCTCACCTGAGATTCAGTGATCAATTTACCAATTTATCTACTATTGTTTCTTGAAACTTACAGACCTGTGCAATATTACCATTCCTTTCTCTTACTTGTGTAGCAACACAATTCAGTGCTGCAATGCACAAGCTAAAACTATAAATTATCACTGAGCAATACAGTAACGATGTGATATTATACACATACTGTTGTTAATAAACAGAAATAAAAATCCAACATTGTGGACTGAGACAAATAGTTGGAGAGAAATAGATCTTTTTGTGTTATCATAGTTTCCATCATTGATTGGCATAATGATTTAAATGGGAGGTACAGCAGTAATGTAACAGTGACGTTAACAGTAAATATAGAAGAGCTACATATATGCTGTTGAGGGATAATTTAGGATAACAAGCCCAGATCCATGATTTCCTTATTTTATTAAAGTGTCTCCCTGAGAAACTAGTATAAATATCCATAATTTGCAATTAAATGAAATCAAATTAGGAAAGAGTCGTGACAAGCAGCATGCCATAATGTCAGTTTATTGAATCCTTTTAAGAACAAAAGGGGTTTCAACATGCAATTTGTTTACTGCTGCAATTTTTTCCTTAATCGTATTAAGGAAAAAAAAATTAATTGGTATTGCTTTTGAAAATAGTACCTTGTAAAACAAATCTACTTCTGCAATGACTTTAGATGGAATTCCCTTTAATTTTTAATGCAGTAACAAAGACTTGTTTGGGATAGACAGGCAGCAGGCAGCAATAGTCAAAGAGACAAATTCCTTTATGGGATAAAAAAAATAACCGGGTAAGGAAGCACTGTAAGAAGGCAGTTAAGTGGGGTTCTCTTTGTTCTCCTCCATGCCATTAGTCATTCATTCTCACAAGTTACTCTAAGGGCTAAGGGCAGGGCAGAGAGGATGCTGGGTAGTACTGTAGGTACCTCCTATATTTCCGAGAATACCTTCTGAAGAGCCTTCCATTACTTAGACCCTTACTAGAGCACAAGGGACAGATGAATGAAATGGAGGGAAAGGGATGGAGAAGAAAGGGATAAATAAGGGAGGATATTAAACCTGGAGCAGATTTCAGCTCACAGTGGAGAAATTCTCTACAGTCAATATTGATGCACAGCAAACACAGGGGCAGGGGATATAATTCAAAGAGGGATGGGAATGGGTATAACCACCTGTACTCAGTTTTCCCTCACTTTTGGGAAGACAAACATATTTACAGTACAAATCCAACAAATTTCCTGTCGGTGCCATTGTTGTTGGATCCCTGAGCTGCAGAGCTGGAGTCAGACTGGACATTTATCAGAATTTAAACTGACAGTTTATTAGTACAAAGTATGTCCAACTGAATCTATGTGCAAATACTGCATCCAATACAAGCAAACCAAATCCATATGTTCTGTCTCCTCTCCTCCCTTGTCTAAAACTTTAAATTAAAAGCTGCCATGCTTGCCAGTTTATTTGGCCCAGTTTGAAGTGAATGCTGGTTTTTCAACAGTGTTGTGGAATAAATAAATATTTTCACATGAACAGTGTCATTGCAAAGAAATGTTTTCCTATCAGGAAGGAGGTGAGTCGGCTAGAGATATAATTTCACACTTAAATGATGAGAAATAGTTCTCTGGTTAAAAATAGACAAAGGAAATGTTAGAAAAAAGACAAATTCTTTGGAAGTCTACCTACTACTATCAGTGGGATTGAGTTATACTTCACTGCACATGGAGGTATGAACACACACACACACACACTCTCACACACACCTGTCTATACGCATAACCTAATGATTAAACCCCTGTTAATCTTTATTTCATGTTTCTTTTCACTGCCAATATCCAGCACACTTACGCTCAGCATGATGCCCGCTGTAGCACTTTGTGGTGCGCCTAATGTTTACTACTGCTGGTGTTTACAAGTCTGCTTAAACAAAAACCACCAGCCGTTTACCACGGCACCTACCGCCGCCAAACAGCCACAGTTGGCAGTCTGTAAAACCACTAATAACAGAGAGTGTTATGAGTTCCCTTGGTGGAGGAGAACATTTAGAAGAGAAGCAGTGTCATAAAAGTGTGCATAATTATGATTAAACGAGTGTAAATTGTTTCTAAGAAAGGAAAACCTAATTAAACACAGTCTTTTAAACAGAAGGATTTCTGGGGAATTAATGTTGTTGTGAAAGCAACAAAGCCTAATTAAATGCTATTTTGTTTAAGGATGAGAAGCACATTTGCTTGTGTGTTTGACTGAGAGTGTAAACTGTTTTTTTATATACGTATGTGTGGTGGTGTTTTAAGTTTAAATGCCTTAAAAAGCTGCTGTCTCAACATAAGGTCCCCAAATGTTGCCAAAGAAGTGCTGCACTGTAAAAATTATACTAGCATAATTAAACTCACAAATCTTTCTCTGTCTTTTTCCCCTCTCTGAAATCCTCTATCTCCCCTCTCCTCCCTCTTTTTCAACTTTGGTCTGTCTCTTCTAGACTTGTGTTTGATGAGTTATATAAATACAATCCCAATGGAAAATGTGCGTCATGGTACAGACATGGTACAGGCTCCTGTGTTTGAAGAAGGGTGTGCGTTCATATGCACACAAACACACACACACACACACGCATGCACGCAGACACACGGCAAAGACAATCACCATCACAGTTTATGAACTGAGATAGAAAATTGAGGTAAAAAAAATGAAAGAAAAAGCATTCTGTTGTTTCACAAGATTGTTTGAAAGTAGCACTTGTTTGCTGAGCAATTGCTCATAATTAAAAAATAAGCATAATTGTCTCCATTACCACACTTCTGCCTACCTGACTTTTAAATTCTGCACAGTCTCTGCACCATATGTGTGCCTGCATGTCTGTATGTGTGTGTGTGTGTGTACCATGTTTACATATCTTTATGGGGACCAAAACTTGAATACTACTACACTTGTGGGGACCAACAGTCCCTTATGGGGACAAAATGCACGTCCCCATGAGTTTGAAGGCATTTTTGAGACTCAAAATGTGGTTTTACAGTTGTTCTCAAATGCTAAAACACAAAAGCCAATCCTCTAAACCAGGGGTGGGCAACTCCAGGCCTCGAGGGCCGGTGTCCCTGCAAGTTTTAGATGTGTCCTTGAACCAATACAGCTGATTTAAATGGCTAAATTAGCTCCTCAACATGTCCTGAAGTTCTCCAGAGGCCTGGTAACAAACTAATCATGTGATTCAGGTGTGTTGACCCAAGGTGAGATCTAAAACCTGCAGGACACCGGCCCTCGAGGCCTGGAATTGCCCACCCCTGCTCTAAACCAAATGACCGGTTGTCTAAACACATTTACTAAATCTAGCCATCATTTACCAATATCATAAACACATGTCACATGAAGACACAAGTCACAGAACACAATCCTCCGTTGTCATAAATCTAAACACATCTTGCCTTGCTAAAACACAAGTTGCAAAAGAACTCTGCTCATCTTCTCAAATGAAAGCTCATGTGATGCAACATGCTTGCCACAGTCAGCAATATTTGAACACAATGAACAGACCTGGCGTCATTGGAGGGTTGCCATATTTACAGCGGCACAAGAAACCCTCATTGTGGATATGGTTCGTGGGAACAACCTCATCAGACTCCAGGAGATCAGAGACAAAGTCATTGCCGAATGCTGATAATGTCAACTTTGAGAGCATTGACGATGTCAGCTTGGCCACAATAGACCGAGTTGTCTGCCGCAAAAAGACGCGGATGAAGCAGGTCTATAGGGTTCCCTTTGAGCGCAACTCTGCGCGACACAAAGACCTACGTTACGAGTATGTGCAAGTAAGTATACATCCATGTTCACAGTACAGTTAGTGGACATATACTGTGTTGCTCAGTGGCCTACATTACTTCTGGACAATACTGTGCTACCTGATTGATTGTTGTTCTGAACACCTGTGCACTTTCACATTTTCACAGAGGATATTACAGTTGGACGTGATGACCAGACCTCATGAGTACCTCTTCCTGGATGAGGCTGGCTTCAACCTGCAGAAACAAAGGCAAAGAGGCCGTAACATCATTGGCCAAAGAGCCATCACTGAGGTCCCTGGCCAACGGGGGGTAATATTACCCTTTGTGCGGCCATGGGTTTGGAGGGGCGTGTCCACCGGCATGCTGTCCTTGGGTCTTACAACACCCAACGTCTCCTCACCTTCCTAGAAGAGCTAAAAGACATCCTCCTGGACCGCCAACAACACCATCCTGGGCCCGCACATCACATTTATGTGATCATTTGGGACAATGTCCGCTTCCACAGAACAAACCAAATCAGAGAGTGGTTCACCACCAACACTGACCACTTTTTAAACGTCTGTCTGCCACCCTACTCCCCTTTCCTGAACCGTATAGAGGAGTTCTTCTCATCGTGGAGATGGAAGGTTTATGACAGACAACCATACACAAGAGAGAACCTAAGGGCAATGGAGCTGGCCTGTGTTGACATCCCAGCGGAGGCCTTCCAAGGATGGATTTGCCATTCCAGGGCGTTTTTCCCACGGTGCCTGGCAAGAGACAATATATCCTGCGATGTGGATGAGGTGATGTGTCCCGATGCAGCACAGCGACATGATGCCGCACAGTGATTGTGGTGTGTGTGGTGTGACTAACTTCACACCCTGATCATGTTTTCAGGAGTATTGTTGTTTGCAATAGATTCTGTTTTTGCATTGAGTTGTGTTACAGTAGTGTACGTGCATGCAGGATTTTCTATAGATTTATACTCTTCATATGAAACTCACAAATCTAAATGCCTAATCCTCTGCAGAGATCTATGACGATCCGTTACTGTATGGTTTCTAAAAATATGCAATTATGAAACAAAGAACCTTCTCACAAATTGAGCATTGTGTTTTCAATTGTTTTGCTGTAGTGTGTAATGATGTGTATAGTGTTTACATTTTTGAAAACTTCAAGCTGCTCTTTTGGTGTGAAAGTTTGAGTTTTGCAGTGGAAAGGTGTGGTTGTGTTTATGTAGCTTTAGAAAAGGGTGTTGTGTTTAGACGTTGGGGAACATGGTGGAAACATTTGAAATGTGTTTTAGCATTTGAGAAAAACCATAGTGTCAGGGTTACAATTAGGTTATGGTTAGGTTAGAGTTAGGCATTCATTTCTGAATGGTTAGGGTATGCAGGTAGGGAAAGCATTATGGCAATAAGATGTCCCGACTAAGAAATGAAAACAAGATTGTGTGTGCGTTTCGAAACCTGTCATTCAGTCTATTTCAAATTTGCTAAGTATATCGCCTGGGCCCTGAGGAATTTCAGTGTCTGTTGTTGTTTGAATTGAATTGATATACCTTTATTAGTCCCACAAGGGGAAATTTCATATTGTTGGGTTGAGTGTTAGTCTCATTTGTGACCTCTTAATTATGTCACTGTTTTAGTTCAAATCAATGAACTGCAATATATTAGCAGAATTCCCTAACAGTGAAAATAAGTAAAGGGTGACACTGCACATCTGGTTTTCTTTTATCAGAACAAATCAGCCTTGATAATCATTAACTGTCCACTATTGCTCATTACCCTTTTTATGTTGTATCATAACACTGCAGCACAGCCTCTCTCTTTTTGAACCTTTTTTCTCCTCTCCAATTCATCTAGGCAATATTGTACATTTAGCATATGTCAAATCAAAACTATGGCTAGATTCTGTTAAGTAATGTGAGGGCAAATAAGGGTTCAGTCATTCCATAAATCAATAAAGAAACCAAGAAACTGAGCCTTTTGTCTCTGCCCTTTGATGTCAGCTGCAATCTGCAATAAATGTCACTAAACAAAAAAAACCATCCATTTCTTATTTGTCAACACAATCAAATGATAAACGAACTAAAACTGGAGTAAACAACCAGCTAATCCAGATAAGAGCAGAAATCAGTCTATAAAATGTGTAAGTCATTAAACAATCGTCTAAATAATCGAACAATTGTATCACATGTTAAGTTGTTTACGTGTTTGTGTCTTTGTCAGTATGAGCTGAGAGTCATACAAACCTGTAAGTAGCCTCGCCCTGCTCTTTCCTTTAAGGGTTAGTGGGGAAAAGAGGAGAAAAAGGGAGAGAAATCAGTAACCCAGCAGATTAAATGAGGATTGTAAAGATGTTGCCATTAATGGATATGGGAAGCATCAAGCCAAAAGGAGGCAAAAGGAAATAAATTTGAGTCCAATGGGTTTAATTACTTTCATCACATGCAAGCAGCCATGCACCACAAGGCTAAATGTTAGGTAAAGGATAGACATGGAAATCAGAAAAGTACAGTCATGGTTTTTTAGGACTCTATGAAGTCCTGAGAAAAACAAAGTACACCCTCACTGCTTCTACAGTAACTAAGAGGATAAGTAGCAGCCAGGTGCATGTGACTAACTGATCATCAGTAAGTGTGACCACCTCTATAAAAGAAGTATTTTGGCAGTTTCCTGATCTGGATCATTCAGCTGCATGTTAACACAATGCCACAATCTTCTCAAGAGTAGATTTCAAAGCAAATTCAGCGCAGAGTTAGACCCTGCAATGATCAGCAAAAATACGCACAAAAAAGAGCTACACGTCAGACTCTACAGGCCTCAGTAAGCATGTTAAGTTACAAAAAACAGCTAAAAATCTATGGCTTATTTAAAGTGTTGCCAGAAGAAAGCCTCTTCTCTGTGAAAACATTACAACACCATGGTTTAGCTTTGCAAAGTTCCATCTTAACAAACCAAAAGATTTAAACAATTTAATTTGGAAAGACTAGGCTAAAGTGGAGCTGTTTGGCCATAATGCGAAGTGCCATGTTTGCAATAATCAAACAGCATATTACCACAAATACGTCGTACCAACTGTCAAGCATGATAGTGACCATGGCAACTTGCACTCATTGAGTTGACCATGAAGTATACCAAAGTATTCTTGAGTGAAACATGATGATATCTGTCTGACAGATAAAGCTTACCCTAAACTGGGTCACGCACCAGTGCAATGATGCCAAGCACAAAGTAAATCTATGAAATTGACTGCACCTTGATTGTTTTCTAAGTCCACAGTTCAACGTGAATGAACGATTCAATTCACATAGCGCCAAATCCCAACAACTGTCACCTGAAGGATTTTTAAACAAATGTCCACAAACCTCACAAACTGACAAATTCTGAAAAACATGTGAGAGGCAGATGTGAATAGAAAATGATTAACTTAAGTTACTGTTTCTGAAGGTGGTTCTCTGAATCATGGGGTGTACTTCTTTTTTAACAGGATTGCATACAGTCGTGTGGAACCTTTTTCCCCCCCACAAGACTGGTTGTATACTGGCACAGCTTCAAAAATGCAGGACAAAACAAATATTAGTACATCGCAAAACTCACTCATATTCATGCCAGCTCAATATTTCTGTCTGACTTGCTGAAAGTAATGTGCTAATTTTACCCAGGCTGAATTCATAATTTAATTAAACATCAAGTCAGCTAGAATTTGAATTAATGGCATCTCATAATCTTTGGCATCTTTTAAATTTGCGCTACAGTCTAAAAATTTTAAAAAGTACTTTTTTCTTTTTAATGTTGAAATGACCTTTGCCTGCATTTTCTTTTAACCTGTCTGGCAGGCATTTTCAGCACTAAATATTTACAAAATGTACTCAATCATCAGACAAACTGTTAACAAAACACATCAGCAACCATATATGTTGCACACATAAGATTTGACAAATCTTATGTGTGAATCTGAGGATAGTGAAAGTTATGCCATCAGCAAAACATTCCAGAGTTTGGTATGCTTATGAAAAAAAGAACGTTACAATGATTCATAACAATGAGTTATGCAATGAAACAGCAGCCGAGGTTACACCAGAGGAGGTGAACACACACCAGGTGAGGAGGAAAAGATGAGAAGGAGGGCTGAGCAGCAGAGGCCATGATTGTAAGTCTGTAAGTTGTTACCTACTTGGCGGGGCTGCAGGTATGCAACGCCTTCAAATGAGGCTTCCAGGTAGCAATGGAAACCGAGTTCTCATCAGCAGCATAACTACGCCAGACACACTACGTGCAGAGTCAACAGGATAAATAAAGTAATGGTAAATCGAACAATAAACGGAGCAAAAAAGGGGTGAGGGAGGATCATATAGGTTGGGTAGGAAGTGAGAGAAGAAAAGTGAGGAGGGAAAAAGAAAAACCTGATTAGTTTTCGGGGGGAGTGTTGATGCGGTGCGGTTGGGGGATGTTGAAGGGAGGTGGGGCAGTGATGGTGGTGGTGCTGGTGGAGGGGATACATGCCTGAGGGGGGGGAGAGCGCTTTGGTAGTGGTGCCAGGTGGCTCTGAGGTAGGGACGAGCACCGTCGGTGGAGTACATACGCCAAGCTGCCTGGGTGGGGGAGGAGCAGAGATGGACAAGACACAAACACATTCACATGTGCACACGCACGAACACACAGAAATGACACAGAAATGACACAAACTTGGTGAGGAAAAATAGACTGAGGTTTATGTGAAAACGTAACTTCCAGTTTAAAAGCCTGTAACCACCTGGCAGATATTGTGGAGGTTGTCCGTACAGACATGAAGAGTAAATTGTGTCATTTACAGTCACTTTAGTTAATTTGACATCGTTTCTCAAAGATATGAACAAAAGTGTGAAACCAGTGTTCTAATGCTATTCCATATTAACTTCTACTTAGGCAAGGAGTTTTTAAACTTTTGTCAAAGCAATGCTAAACTACAGAGACAGAGTGCAATCTGTTATATATGTCTAAAACATATCTGTATAAAATGCAAACATGGGCTGAAATGCTAACAAAAAGCATCAGGTTTGCTGGATTTCACAATATCAAAGGATTATTTTAGCACCATATGGCTATTAGCTGTAGGAAATCTAATGCTAGCTGGCTATAAGAAATATAATAAAATTAAAAATATCTTACAGAAAGAATCTTGGAGGCCTACCTTGGAGGAATATACCAGATTGTATTTGACCTATCAGTGAGAAATGTGCCTTCTACCTACATAAGCATGTTGACTCTCAGTTTTCCTATTTTTGCTTTTAATATGGTCTTTATAAAGGTTCAGTCATTCTTGTATTGATTTTTTTTTTAATTTCAGCAGCTTTTAAAAAACATTTGGGTTTCTTTAGCCTGTCGTAATACTTTCACACAAACATCTGCTCTTAGGCATTTATCAGTTTATTGCTGGCAGATGGAAGTGACAAGGAGACACAGCCGCCTAATACAAAGAGTGTGGAGAGCCATGAATTGTTTTCCTTTTAGCTGTGCATGGATTTAATTGCTCTTTGTCGCTATGGTGATTGTACATCAGAAATTAAATGGCTTCTTGGCATTTAGATAGATAGATATAATTTTATTTCGAACATGCAAATATAATTGAAATAACAGCAGAAAAAACAAAAAACAAAACTTAAAAATCATCAAGTTTTCATGTATATATCTATGTCTACAAAATATATGTGCTTTTAGTTTAGCATTTAGGCTAAACTAAAAGATTAGGACACCTTCTAAATTCAGTGCAGGAGAAATATTAAGTGCAACAGACTGTTTAAATTTATCTATGGAAATCGCGTGTTTGCTGGTAAAGTTATCAGCAAGTTGTAACAGTGGGGCAGGATGAGATATCAGTGTGTTTAGGGTGTTTGTCAGAGCCAGTGATGGACACAAAGTACTCTTTATACATCATCTTATTTAACTGAGCCGGTCATACAGTCTTCTATGCCAGATTAACAGTGAACCTAATCCAAAAGTAATAACTGATGAGGCCACAAGCTGTCTGCCACCTATCTTTTAAAGGTTGCTTCCTTTACATCGTCAACCATAATTTACTTGCAGCTGACTCAGCCTCCTCAAACTTGCCAGGTATGGTTACAAGATTTCAGACATGACTTGGAAAACCCAAATATAAACACTTCACACAGACAGGATGGAAAATTAACACTGACCACCTGCCAAACGCTAGTCAGTTTTGGCTGCTGATTATTATGTGGACACTTTAATATCATTTATAGATTCAATCTTGCTCTGAAAATTACACAAAAAGTTATTTGGCAAAACAACTATGACAGATGTTGAAATTTCGAATTGACCAGCTGCGAAGGCTTGAGGACAGTGGTAATATTCTGTTATGCACACACAGAAAATAGCGATTAAAAGCAGGGAGAGCTGCGTGAGATGAGGGGAGTGAAGCGACAGAGTAATGACGCCGTCCACATATTTAACACTTCACAGGTGCTTCCAAGTTTCCTTTTACCTGTTGAGGAAAATGTTATGAACTTGGCAGATAACAGACAGTGACCAGATACTTGATACACAGCCAGTAAAAGAGGAACAAGACCAACACACACTGGATTAATTGTTCACTTAGTGGGTTATTAAGGATCAGTTGGGCTCCAACTGGATTTCGTCTATGCTAACAACAGATATTTATACATAACAAGGAGATCAGACAAAACATTGGTTTGATTTAATGAATTAGTCATATAAATATTTATGAAAACTTTACCCATATCATCCGACTACTTATTTGGAAGGGAAAAGCACCCATACCATGTGTGCGCATACAGTGCATAATGCTATGTATTAATTATTTACTCATTTATTTTCATCAGGAAGATGCTGTCAAACAGATGGCAAAGTATCTAAGAAATTGTATCTTAATGTTACCATTAATTATTCACTAAAACACATGATATGCACCGACATATGTTCTATTTAGAACATAAAGAAATTACAACGGCATTCCCTGAGCTATCAGGTTGATATTAAGACCAGACTGCTGCATGTGACCAACAGTGAAGTTTAGTTTCCATTGTTTGTATGCTTTAGATTTCCTTTGGTTTAGTTTGATTGACATATTTACATTACTATGAGATAGTTCTTTACAAGCTTGACAATGATCGCTCGGTTGCTTCGTCAAACGGCTGACAGCGGATATGGGACAATGAGGGAAGAAAATGCAAGACTTCTTGGCCGCATTTGTAGATATCCTTGGAAAGGGAAAGATCTTGTCAGGCTACTATGACAGTCTAGAAACCCCTTCATTAAGAAACAGATGCAAATGATGACAGACAGTTTGGGTAACAATTTAGATTTCCAGATTTCCACTTCCAAATATGTAGTTTTAAAACTGGGTCAGCAGTAGAGTTTTGGATTTAAAGTGTGAGGAAGTTTTTGTCTAGCTGTGTCTAACAGTTGGCGAACTTGATACTATCATATTATCATAACTGATACAGATTAGAACAACATTCGAAACAGCAGCGTGAGACTCAGACGTTCGAGTTTGGATTCCATTACTGACCGGAAAATTTCAGAAAGTAGTGCAAGGTTGTTCGTAAGATAGGAGAAGGTAGACAGAACAGACAAACGCCTACACAAAAACAAACACATGCAGTCTCACAAATACATGCAAAAAAGAGACACACACACATTTAGCTGCGCACTTCAGGGAACACACTCCACAGCAGATATTTATTGTTCATTAGCAAGCAATGCAGCTGGTCTTGTCTATTACAATAAGTGATAGTTTGAAGGAGCGTCCGCCCAGGGAATGATCGCCATGGAAACGGCTCATAAATCCCTGCAGTGTGTGTTGCAGTTGGACCTGAGAGTCGGCAGTGTGCCTCACACACTGTTAGTCATCACCAACTACACACCTTGACAAGGCCGAGAAGAGCATAATACACACATACACACACACACTCACATTAAGTACGCTCTTAATGAAACACCACTACAGTAATAGAAGTGATGCACACCTGCACTTCAACAAAGGGTAAAGAGTGGACACACTCATGCTTTTATTTAAAAACAGGCAAAACGGACGTGAACTACGCACAAATCCATGAACATTTTCACATAAAGGGAATTTTTTTATTCTATTCACACTGGTACTCAGCTGCTTCTACTGAAAAAAAACATCAGTCGAGGTGAGGTGTGTTTGTTCTCTGCATGTCTGAGTATCTACCTGGATGAGGCTGGCAGCTGGGTTCCTCCTTTTTTCAAAGTGCTTTTGTCGATGCTGCTCCTGCACCTTCAGGGCAAAGCCTGAACCTAGGATGCCCTATGTGGAGAAAACAAAGACACACATTGAGTTTAAACTTGAAGAAAATTCACCATGGAGAAAAAAAGCGCCTGCTCTTATTTGTGTAATATGTACAGATTATTTTGAAGAAATACAGAAAGTGTAATCAGTCATTGTGCCACGGTGTTTTACTCACAGCTGGCAGGGCAAAGAAGGAGATCCCCAGCAGAGCAAAACACGCTGATAATAACCGCCCCGTCCACGTCTGTGGGGTCTTGTCACCGTAGCCAATAGTTGTAAGGGTGATCTGAAAGTTCAGAGGACACTACTCAAATAATCATAGCCAACATCATTTTATTTATACAATTTAACTCACAGGATGAAGGAAATTATATTTTTGCACGCTGAAATAAAAGAGACAACGCTTTCATATACACAACAGATATGAACATCAAAGCATGCATCACATTCACAGTATTGCAAAAGCGTACAAGTACAAGTAGAGACTGAGATGTGCACGTTTATGTACTGTCTGCTTTTTGGTTTTACTTCCTTAAATTTAACTGATATTCTTACAAAGACTGAAAAGTGCACAGAAGCAGTTCACATTATTTTATTACATTTAACAAAAACGTCTTGCCTTCAAGGTACCACATTCCTATCTACATGGCTATAGTATTATTTGTTAAACTTCATTTCAAATGAATTTCCAAATATAAGTGATATTAATAATTTTTATAATTTTCAATAACCGGTAAAGACAAGAGTTAATTAATTTCAAACCCATTTCTCAAATGCACTTATTAAACAGAATTAAAGAACACCAACATCTGCTGAATGGCACGCTGTGCATCTCCCAAATGTTCATATTTTTCCAACCAGGGAATAAAAGATTAATCAGTGTGAAGGAAAATATCCTCAGCATTTCGAAAGCTGTGTGAAATGCAGGTTCTAAATCTGTGAAACTGGCTTCTGGATCTCTGTTTTTTCACCTTAAAATTAAATGTATCTAAACTTGAGCTTTTAGCAAGTATAATACTACAGTTTTTAGTGTCTACCAGACAGAATCTTCTCCAAGGTCGCAGCATGTGTCATTCCCACAAGCCGAATAGGCCAGTCGCACCTGGCCGCAGGAGAAAATTGACTTTATTGATTGGGCCGTTTCTTGTTTGTGTGTTGTCTGTGTCCATATTTTCAAAGGAGGAAACAGTGCGGTATAGCCAGCCAAGTGTGAATTTAAAGACCATTCTTCCTTGTTTTTGTATTGCAGGTGTCATTAAGGTCACAGACAAACTATGAAAAGAAATATGTCAGTGCTGCAAGATCAGAGTGACAAAAGTTTTCTTTATTTTTTGCATGTGAAAAAATTATGATGGGTTTGGAATATTTTAAGAGTTAAGAGTTCATTTTAAGAGTTAATACAAATGATTCAGCTGTCATTCAATTAAGTTATGGTTATTTTAGCTGAGACTTCAGGATGTCACAAACAGGACTAAAATAATTTTAACCGGCTGTGTTTTACAGCATGCCGTGTGCCAGGTTAGTGTGCATCTCCATGTGCTCACCGTGCCCCACCACAGAGCATCAGCGTAGGTGGCAAATTCCTTGTTGAATTCTTTCTCCACCAGATAGACCAAGAAGGAGGAGAAGATCAACACCAGAAACCCTATATACCAGGCAGTCACCAGCTCCTGCAAGAAATACAGATAAAAGATCTTTATAGGTTAGATGATTTCTAACCTTGTGCTGCAAACATGGTGAAAGATATTGATTGATTTTTTTCTTTTGAATATAATCACTCCCTATTGAGATTTTCACCACTCCACATAAGTCAATAAGTAACATTATTATCTTTTCCCCACTTTTCAACTTGGTTTGTGGTATGGAGAAAAAAAACAATATTTTTCAATGAAAATTTGGTCAATTTAAAGTTCACTGCACCAACAGTGAATACAGTACAAAATAAATATGAACATAAATGCATAAACAAGATGGATGGTCACAATATCAGGAGTACATGCAACTGGCAAATAAAAGAAATTACATCTGCATATAATATATCAATCAGAACAGTAATAGCATACTTTATAAAGTACCTGTGAGAATGGTGATTAAAAACTAGCACTAACAGATTGTCAGGTGCCATATAACAACTCAACAACATTGCATTGATGCTATTTTAAATAAATGTGACAGTTTCCAATTAGCTCAGTTTGCTGATGTAAAATCTCACTGCAAGTTTCAAGTCTTACAGAAGGATGTTGGCTTTGAAATGATAGTCCCATACACAGTAAAGCTGATATCAAAGTACTTTGTTGCTAGCTAAAATATTCTTCAAATTCAACCATTATTTGTCATTAGCAATGACCAAAACACAAACTCGAAGCTTCAAAAGGATCACCCATTAGTCTGCAAAATAATGGGATGATGACTTGGCGGCCAAGCCCATCCTTTATATACAGTTTATTATTCAGTAGAGGAATATATTTGCACAACGTCAATTTTTGTGCAGCACAAAAGTGAGAATAATTGTACTTTAATTAACTGTGCCTTTTCTATCCACACAGCTTTTATTTATAATTGTAATGACCCCAGCTCTCTCCAGGGATAAGGGGATGTAACATTAACAGTGGAAACAGCTAAAGGCAAGATTTTAATCTTTTAATGAGTAACAGTGTTAACAGAGAACACAACAAAAGAGGAGAACCAAGGGCCCGTGGTTGCTTTAAAAAAGAAATAAACAAAGAAGCAAACATAAGAGACTCCTCATCTAAGAGTCATATTCACAGTTTACAGATGTTTCAGTAGCAAAACCAAAAACATTCACAAGTGAATGTGTCTAAACAAACAGTTTGTCTACATGTGTGACATTTGGATGAGGAAGCTAACCACTGGCCCGGTCCCCAGCTACACTTTGAAGATGAGCACTAAATAAACATATTTAGTAAGTCAAACTGAAGAAGCCAAAGTCTCAGAATGAACTGCAAGTGTTTGTAGTTAACCAGAAGAGCAGAATGACCAATGTACAATCTTTCCGGTAAGCACTAACAAGGTTTACGGAAATGGCGGCAGGCTGCTCACATTAAATCAAAAGTGGCCCTGACGAACTGCTCTGCTGCCCTTTTAAGCAGGTGAGACTGCAGCTTTAATGGAGTAGGTACTGGGGCCAGTCCAAAGAGCAGCTCAGCAGTAGAACGAGCAAGTAAAATGTCCAGTCACATTTTAGACTTCTTTGACAGCTAAAGTTACTTAATGCTTTCAAGCTTTTAAGTTAAGGTTTGTGTAAACAGTCATTCCAGTAAGTCTGATACAAAGTAGTTTAAAGCCAGCTCCACTTCAGCCGCAGAAACAGTCATAGGTTTATTTCTGTATTTGAAATAATTTAGATGATTAATTACATTTTGTATACAATATTCGTTTAATTAACATACAACAGTGATTTGTAATACACAATAAAAGAGGTGGGTTGTTAGCAAATGTAGCAACACGCACCATTAGCAAACCTACAAAATCAGGCCACCTAGTGATCTAGACAAACACACACAGATCCAAACACCTCTCTATATGTTTAGTTGTAGATAGACTCCTGAAATGACTGTTAAAAAAAGCCCTACCTTACTATGTGCGTAAACTACAGATCCAAGCAGTTTCCAGGTCCCTCCCCTACGGTCCATGCGCACCATGCGCAGGATCTGAAGGAAGCGAAGGCTACGCAGCGCAGATGTGGCAAAGATGTTACCCTGGCTACCAGCTGAAACCACAGCAACTGAGGCGATAAGTACGATGATGTCTGGGGAGTAAAAGAGGGAAATTAAAGGTCATGGGTTTCACAATATTAGTAACAGGAACTGTGGTTGACTCACCTACTTTCTAAATCCATCCAACCTGCCATCCGTCACCTTTAAAACAGCTACTTATTCGCTAGAAGCTGTTGTTTTCCTTTTATTTACATGTTTACATAAGTCTTTGTTTGTCATTGTATCTTCAGCTTTAAGATATCATACGTATTTTGTCTCACTGAATTTCCCGAGAATATTGACGTCTTCCTTGCTTGAACACGAAAATAAGAACTGAGAACTGCAGTCTTTTAAAAATGTGTGTTTTTATGTTCTACCCATAGCTGTGACAGTGGTAACTGTACCTGTAGTAACTAAGGGAAGACAAGTTTTATCAACATTGTTGCAACAATAGTATAACTTCCTACTTATGAACCTGTTTATATAAGAAACTATAGGTAACATCACAGGGAAGATATTAAAAGAACGCTATACAAACACAATTAAACTGTTTGGAGTTGTGAATGGCTGCATTCATAAATTGTACAGTTACATAGCAACATCTTCACACAGACCTACCTATGACACAAAACGGTTTTCTGGCAAAGCGGAGACGTCCCTGCCAGCCTCGATAGCGGCAACAGCAGCCAGCACTCCATATCCGGATGATGTACTCCAGGCCAAACACTACAATCATCACAAACTCCTGCAGGATGCATACACAATAATTCACACACTTGAACCTTGTAGCATCATAAAAATAGTCAAACACCACAATCATCACAAGCTCTCGCAGGACGCACACACAATAGTTCACGCTTGAACCTCGTAGCATCATAAAGATAGACTTAAAAAGTTATTCTTTCAATAGCAAAAAATCATCACTTGCACTATAATCACTGTATATTTATGCATTTTAATGAGGGTAATTTAAAGTCACTACATGAAACAAGTTGATGTTCCTGACAGGAAAAGAAAAGGTGCAGTTAACAACATTGTTAATGACTGTTTACCATTAAGGTGAGTCAGGCCCTTGTTTGTTTGTTTGTTTTCCCATAATGCAGACTGATTCACTATTCAGACTTACAGTGATAATTCAGTGTTACAAGGCCATTAACACGGTTAATGGCTAAACTTGTGCTTTTCTTGCTTTGGTAGTAAAGATGTCTGTAATAAGAAAGACAACTTTACTGCAGATACTTTGACTCATCATAACAGGGAAAGCCTGTTTAAAGTCTACACTGCTTCGTTTTTTGTTTTTTATTTTTTCCAGATAACCAACTAACACCTGGACTAAAGCCTGCCAAAATATTTGTTTTCAAAATACTTGTTTTCATGCTGATAATTAGCCACAATTATAACAATTCTTTGAAAATATAAACTTTACTTTGGAGAATGTGGCCAATGTACTGGTCCATGTCCACATTAATGCTACAGGAGATGCTCAGCCATGGAAACCCATGATATGATGCTCCTAGTGCATTTTTTGTGTTGCTGTAAATGCCAGAGGTTTTGAAATGTTCAGTTAATGAGTCTTCAGAGCATTGGGACTTGGCGACCCTGCTCTGTAACTTCATGGCCGAGTTGCCCTGGTTCCATCAAGGCTTTAACTTTGCAATTATACCATTTCATTTGATCATGGAATATCTAGGAGGGAGGAACCTTCACAAACTGATTATTATTGATCTGATTATTAATATCTTATTACAGTACCATGCTCCAATACTGAGCTCTTTTAAAAGATCCATTCTTTCACAAATTTTTGTAAAGGCAGACTGCATTGCTAGGTGTGTGATTCTAATCACCTTTGGCACTGTAAACAATTGAATTCAAAGATTAAGAGGTGTGGCCAAACACTTTTTTCAACATACAGGGTGGGCCATTTATATGGATACACCGTAATAACATGGGAATGGTTGGTGATATTAAAGTCCTGTTTGTGGCACATTAGTATATGTGAGGGGGCAAACTCCTCAAGATGGGTGGTGACCATGGTGGCCAT